ACCGTGGGTGCCCATGGAGGTCATGTTCGACTTCCAGGCAGACCCGTTCGGTTTCAAACGTATCGTGCAAAAGACGTCGGCATTGTTGAGATACGACAAATTCAACACGCTCCGACTGAAGTACAATGACGAGGTCAACGACGTCGAAAACGTCAACCCATCCCTGGACGGTACGGAAAGCAGGATGGATAACCTGTGGGTCGAATTCCCCCAGGCCCGAGCGCTCTGCAACTCGTCTCAGTATTATGCCATGTATGTCATAGTCCTCGACCTTCTTCTCTATAGCGAACCGCTGGAGAAAACAAGGAGTGAGCGATTGGAGAAGATCATGCTGGCATCCGACTTTAGCGACCTCCGGGGGACGCCTGAAATGGTCATCAAGCTGCAAGAGCGCATTCGAAACCTCGAGGAGATCAAGAGTCGCTTCCAGATTCACGCCAAACACTTGGACAGGAAAGGCTGGGAAGATCGACTGGTGTTGGAACGGGACCTTGCAGCCAACGAGGATGAGCTGTTTTTCGTAATGAAGGCCATCACGTCATCGCAGCGGAAATACGACAGCTCGCTGCAGAGCAACGCTCTTCTGAAATGGACCATCTCCGCCAAGGAGATAGTCTGGCATCTGATCCAGGACAACAACGAGCCCTTGGTTGAACTTCAGCTCAAGGATGTCGAGTATGATCGAACAGATAACTCGGACGGTTCGCACATCAACGTGATGCAGGTTGGCAAAATACTCGGCCTGAACCTGATGCCCAATGCGATCTATCCAGAAATGATCGCGCCCTACTTCGAAGATGAAAAGGGCCGGCAGGCAGACTTGAAGGACAAGAAGATGGTCCGCGTCTTCTTCCGCATGCTGGAAGCCATCGCTGGTATACCTGTGATGGACCACTTTGAAATCAACTTGTTCCCGATGAAGATCCAGCTGGAGCGTGAAGTGGGCAAGAAGCTATTCGAGTACATATTTCCGGAAATGGAAGCAGGCCAGGCTGCCAGTCCGGCTGGGTTGGCCACGATGCCCTCCATTACAACTACAGACGATGCCGGCGATGCAGTGGATACTCTGATGGACGACTCGGCGTCGGCGTCTGGAAGATTCGGCTCGGCCAGCTCTGATAAGGATTCGCCCTTTAGCACACGAGCTGGTTCGCTGGAGCTCCGTCTCCGTCCGACTTTGACTCTCGATTCCCGTATGCCCCGAGATGACGGCAGTTCCAACCCCAAGGCTGTGAGCATCCACTCGGGCGAGGGCAGCCAAGTGTTCCGGCTTCTTGGTGGAAGGACGGCAGGTAAGAAGCCGTCGTACGAGTCCCTGCGATCGATACCGAAACCTGGAATTGGGCGGGCCTCGACAGTATCTTCGAACAGCGAGATGAAAAAGGGAACACGCTTCGGTCTCGCAAAGAAGTCGGGCGCTGCAGAGGTGGAGCCTTCGGACGATCTATCCAAGATGATGACGCGCGCCTCGAGCTACATGACATTTGCCTATATCAAGATGCCGTCCGTCGTGCTCTGCCTAAGCTACAAAGGTAAAGGCGAGCGTAATCTCGAGGACGTGCACGACTTTGTCTTCAGACTCCCCGCGATCGAGCATCGGAACAAGACCTGGTCCAACCTCGACCTGGCCATGAACGTGAAGAACCATGTGATAAGGGCACTGATCTCTCACACGGGCGCTATCATCAGCAATAAGTTTAGTAAGCACCGGCCAAGCACGGCCCAACAAAGTAAGCTTCGGGAGCTGGCTACGAGTAGCGTCTTGCTCGCCACGCCAGCCTTGGCCAACGCTGGCGACAATAGCGACGATTCAGCAAGCCTTCTCGGCATCAGCTCCGTCGACTATTCCCGCTCTCCACCAAGGAGCCTAAAGGACTCGCAATCGGGCAGCTCCATCCTCCAACGATCAAACAGTAGGAGCTCTTCAGTCGCATCTTCCTACTCGTATAGCAATAGCAGGAGCGGAAGCCACTCGCGAAGTGGCCAGGGTACCCCGAGCTTCATGATGATGACACCGGGAACCCGTCCAATAACCGGTCTTGGGATCGACACGGGCCGACCCAAGTCGAGTAACAACAATCTCCAGGCGGAACCTGTGCGGCCGAGCACTAGCGGGAGTAGCATAATAGGTGGCGGCCCGGAAAGACGGAAGCCGGGCGGCCTCGGGTTCAAAAATAAGATGAAAGCCTTGACACGCCGCCGCACGGATCGGGAAGGCAGTGATCCAAAGAATGAGGAGCTAGATGACTAGTCTTCCAGCATATTCTCCCAGTGGGAACCCCCCTTTTTCGTCCCCATCTTCACTTTTCTCTTTTTCTATACATACATACGACAGGACAGTGCCACATTTCGGTTGGTGCGGCAAGAGCCTGACAGGGTTGACCACAATGCATTGGGTTGGAGTCGACAGGACGGTTACAGTCGTTTTTATTCTTTGCTTATTATCATGTCAACTCGCTTCGGGTTTTTCTTTTCCCCTTCTACTTTTGGTTATACTTTAATACCCCAGCCATTTGTAAATTCGTCCTTTAATAAGAGGATGACACGCATATAGAATAGGGACAAAGAGTCGCCCAATACAGATACCATTTTTCTGTGTATTTTATAATACCTGTCCAGCAAAACTGTTTGATTGTTCCTATCGTTACGAAAAGAGGCTTTTGTATAGTACCTATGTATAGTGCTGTAGAGTATTGTAAGTTGAGCATAGGGTAGGGTTAAGGCCGGTTAGGTTGTAAGATATAGAACATAAATAGTTCAAGGTGTATCCTTTGGCTTGTAGTAAGTATCAATATCAATGCTTGACCGCCGTTCCTAAAACTGGAAGTAAATATTACTCCCTCCTCCTTAACTCCTGTTAGCATATAGCAACGGCCTATATTTTATTTCGTTTCATTACATTTATTTGTAGGAGTTAAACGGCAGGTCCTTAACACATATTTAAATATTTTAGACAGTCTTATTTGTAATCAAGCATCTAACTTAATCGTAAAGCAGTAAACAGCGTCTAACCTATAATTAAATCAGAACAACTACTTGCTTTGCTTTTCTATCTACCGTAGGCTTTAAAAAGACAAACAACAACCAGGGTGCATTGTTTGTCAAGAAGATTTAAGAAAGAAAAAAAAATGGTAACTCTCGATCGGGGAATCGAACCCCGGCCACCTGCGCATTGCAAACTGATGACAAGCAGGTATCCTGACCACTAGACCAATCAAGACTTGTTTGTGTTTTCTGTCGATGTTGTACTCATATTTGTACAAACACTTTTGACCTCGGGCTTGGGTTTGTTTGTTGTGTAGGTAATATGACAGTTCTGCTAGTTCTTACTTACCTATAAACTGGATATAAGAAGACGAGTCTACTTACCTGATCTGATATAAGGTATAGCCTTTCACTTTACACTGTTTATCAAGAGACTTTAAAAGAAGGGGTTGGCTAGCGTATCTGTCTGTTCTTGTCTATATTGGTTTTTAGGGGGGTTTTCTTTTGTTGTTTTTCATTGCTGCGATATTGACATGGTCCTCTTTTCTTTGTAGACACGAGATCTTGCTGTCTACCTACCTAGACTAGGGTACCTAACTAAGGCTTGGTACTATATCCCTTTTCTATTTTATTTATCTACACCTAGACTGTCAAGGTAATTCTAATACTGGGTAGCAACTAGAGTAGGTAACTTGAAAATAAGGGGCGGGCAGGCAGGCAGGCAGGCTCCTAGGAACAAGGTTTAGTATAGCCATATGAATGACGCTCCTTTTGTAGTATGTAGGTACCTAGTTTTCAATGAAAAAGACATATAGGTTAACGTATATTCTCTCTCATCATATAAGGAGTAGGATTTCAAGCCTGACTACCGTACCAAGGATTCTCGTGTTGGGGGTCTAAGTCATGGCTACATGTCGGGGTGAGAGTATCAACAAAGGCAGGATAGTACCTAAGAAGGTGTGAAGGTCTTGAATGACGAAATCAATGACTAGATTATGCCTTTCTCTCAAAGATCGATCGAGTACGCAGATCAAGTGCAAAGTAGGTATACCTACATCAGCTTGTCGTCGTAGATATATCCATCTATATGAGATGAGCTTTCCAGGGTGGAGTGATAGAACACGTCTGGTTTACATGGTGCCCCTTTTCCAGGTAAACGTATGACTGACTAGCCGGTAGACTCGAAGGGGAAAGGAAAATCACACCATACCTGCATCATCATGTATATAATGGTTCCTCTCTCTCGGTCTCTCTGTATATGTCAGCAATGCGTAGTCTAGCTTGTAAAGGTGACTACTTTTATAGTTGTTTGTATGTTGGGAGCGTTACAAGATTGGGTCGTCACTGTAAGCAAAAGCAAAGATATAGAGCTCAAACAAAATAGGTAGTCTGTCTGTCTGTAGCCGGAGTGACGGACAAGAACCAATACTTCTTATTTGTATACGCACACTCACTTTTGTCATGTTAATGTAATCGAGAGCAAAACTTTCATCTTTAACTGATAAGTAGAGTCTTGTATAAGAATACAGGCACACAAGTTGTTGATATAGAGAAGTTGATATTGACTATCATGGTAAAAACAGAGCATTTTATATTATCAGCCCCTTTTCTTGGTTAGTACCCAGGGCTACGATACAGTTAAATTCTAACCACTTTCTCACCTACTGCAACCCATGATCCAAAGGACCTCAATATTACAGCTAGCCTAACTTAGTAGCCAGTCAGTTAGAATATTGTACCTTACTTATAATGTGTAGGTATAGTTTTAGAGTTTCTTACTCCCCTTGTTTAAACAACCTGTAATAGACAATCTGTACGCACGTAGATTGACTGACTTATACGATCAAAAGAACAACTAAAACCTTATACCTTATACATCTATCAACTGTTGTTTATTCATTATTTTTATCTCTGTACATATTCCCGCCTACCTACCTATCTAAGATTAGACCAAAGCATGATCAACTTTATCAAACCCTTTAGCCGGCCCTCATCTACAACAGATCCACACAAAATCTTGATTGGTCTAGTGGTCAGGATACCTGCTTGTCACTGGTCCCGTTCTCTCTCTCCTTATATCAAGGAAAGAACGAAAACAAGCTGCTCGCAGGTGGCCGGGGTTCGATTCCCCGATCGAGAGGAAAAATGTTAATCTTTTAATACCCTTTTTATTTTTATTTTATTTTTTGCTCACATGACATACACATGTACAGTAGGTACCTAGTTTTGAGGGTTTTTTTCTTTCTTTCTTATTCTTCTCTTTTCACTCACCTAGGTGTGAGGCCTTTTTAACAATTGGTCTAGTCGAGTCCATCTTCTCATCCCGGCTGGACCTCCCTGTGCATATTTCTTTCGGAATAAACAGCCGAAGGCCTAGAGGGGGGGGGCCAAGAGAAAGGTCTCGCCTGTTCTGGGGGTGGGGGTTGGAGGGGAGGGTTTTTTTTTGTGGGTAATACAGGTACATAAATTATCCGGATAAACATTGCCCATGCACGTAACGAGGAGGAAAAAGACTTTTAAAGCATAAATTAATGTTTTCTAACGCGCCATTTGTGCGTCAGATGGGATGGGGAGGGAGAGAGGAGAGGAGAGGAGGGGAAGGGGAAAATGGGTCGTCGGGTCGATCTCATGACTCTTTGGTGGTGAAGTGGAGTATAGAATAAGAGTGAGTGAGCGAGACCATTATGAACATGACTCGTGATGTATAAAGTTTTTTTCCTTCTCCTGTAACAAAATAATAAAAAGTATTATGTAGATAAAGTACATGTAAAATCATGGCTGGCCAAGAATTCAGATGCGGATCCAATTCGGGCGACTGGTTATGTACATAGGGTAGGTAGGTTTGCTGTCTCCTTTTGTCAGTAACCTGTTTTCTTTCTTGCTTTCGAGGTTAAGTATATGTAATGTAATGAAACGGATAGATAGAGTATAGCAATACCTGCTCTACTTGCTGCTCGCATATATACCATACATACATGCTGACATGGGAGGTACATTACAATGACATGAAAAGGAGGCTCGTCATGAAGCCCCTCCCCTCTTGGCCCTCGGTACCCTTTTCCCAGATCCATGTGAAGTACTACCTATTATGTACCCGTGATATCGTTTCTTGTCCATCTACAAGAGAGGGGATAGGAGGGGAGGTGTGGCCATAGCAGGCTTCGAGATCGTATCGTATCGTATCGTATCCATTCATCTTGCGTTCTCCCCCCAAGACGGAGAAAGAAAAAGTACCTAGATGGTTGGGGTAAGGTATGGATTTTACAAAGTACCTCCAGACCTACCTAAGGTTAAGCTATCGGTAGGTCACTTACTCGGGGTTGGACAGGCTAGCCTGGAATTAATGAACGGCGAGCTACTCTCTCTCTCTCTCTCTCTCCCCTACAAGTGAAAGCTCGTCTGACTGACAGCAGTGTGCTAGCAATTCTTATTTTTGGCATTACATCTCCTTAACTACCTTGCTCCATCATCTAAACTACCTAGGTACGAGACGTGTATTACATAGGTAGTAGGTACTGTAAATAGGTACATCCTACGGGAAGGAGACTATACTCTACCAAGTAGTTCTTGGCGAGAAAGGTGAGTTAGAGCAACATGGCGGTCTGGGCATGGTTGTAGAATCTGGGCCAGCTTGCCAGCTTTCTTGCTTGCTTACGTCTTGGGAGTCTGTCTGTCTCATCTTGCTTTGACAAACACAAAAACTCCCTACTCGTATAACCATAAATACTATGTAAAGTACCTCGTAATTACGTATGTTTAAGAGGGAGAGGGGGCTGGTAGGTACGTGTAGATAGTATTAGGTTTAGGAGGGTGGACCTTGGATGGACACATCTCGGGGTTTGCAAAAAAACAGGGGAAACTGTGACTTTTTTTATCGGTAAACCCCGGATGATACCAACGATACCTATGAACTAGCGTCTAGATGGATGTCCACCTACCTACCAGTATCTCATGATCTAGGATCGTGAAGGAAGAACCACACCGGAATACCCATCCCACAGTCCAAGTAACCTACTCGTAGATGTCTCGATGCTAGGTAGGTAGGTATTTCACATTACCTACCTAGACTAGAGGCATGAATTACCGTACAGCTAAAAGGTAGCGTCTGCTAGACTAGACTAGGGGATAGATTGCTATGGGGGAACTACGATACCTATAAATTCCCCATCAAGCTTGGTGGTTTACCTCCCTCCTGTCAACCCCCGGTCCTGATAGATACCTACCCGGTGACACCAAGGACGGAGGGAGCGACGGAATAGATTAGTATGGGGACGCCGACATAGTGGACGCCGGTCTCCTTCTAGCTTTTCCCTTGGCTGTAATCCCTCCGATCGATATCTAGCTAACCTAGGTTACCTGGTAGGTATCGAGGTATCTACGAGTAGTCGACGAGACCGTTGTCCTAGGCAACCTATCGTGCTAGGTACTCTTCAAAAGTAAACAAACGTGTGTGGACAGATAGGTAGGTTGGACAAGATAGATCAATATCTGTGTTATCAGTCGAACCCCTTACTTATTACCTACTTGCAGCAGTTACTCGTAGGTATGAGATGACGAAAATAACCTCTTTGTCTGGTACCTGGATAGCTGGACTTCTATTTACCTAAATTGCCATACCTAATGTACGGTACCTTACCGACCTACATACCTTATGTATGACCGAGCTTTTCACGTCGTATGTTGTCTGTCTCTAAAAACACCACGAATAGAATACAAGGATGGAAAATGTGCCCTGGACTAGGTAGATGAATGTTTTTTACCTACACCATATCTTGCTTGACCATCGCTTATCTAGGTACCTATCTATATCTCCCCTTCCTTCCTTTTCTACCAGCAAAGGTAAAACTGTCTCAGATACCGGGCATCAATACGCTATCAGCCTAGTAGTTGGCAAGGGATATGTGCATGTTTCTAACGCTCGTGGTTTTGCGTCGTTGTGCTTGGTTAGTAGGTAGGTAGGTAGATATGTAGATGCAATTTAGTAGTTCATTATCTTTTGTGTAACAACACCATCAATACCTTCTCCCTCTCTCTTATCATTTTATTATTATTATTTTAATTTCTTTTATTTGCCTGCCTGTCCTTGTCCTCGTAGTGGACCAATACAGACATCATGGGCATTTCTACCACAACACAAGATTTCATTCCCTACCTACCTTATCTTATATCTCTTCGGACCTACGTACCTACTGACCTACCTCTCTCAAAAGAAAAAAAAAGCACGGAAAATCATGTGTCATGTCGTGTCACGTCACGCAAAAAAAAAAAAAGCCCTCTCTTAAAATTCTCCGAGAATGGAGAGAAAAATAGAAAGCCACATAGCACGCAAGAAAAGAAAAAGAAAAAAAGAAAAGGTACGGTCATGTCATGTATAGGTAAGCCACCGCCACTCAGCCCAAAATTAAAAGACGACCTATTCAGTCAGTCCAATGTCTGGGTAGATACCTACATATATAAAGCCACCCTCTTTTTCTTTTCAGGTGAGTTCAGGTGAGGTGAGATGAAAGAAAGAAAATATATAACATGGTATTTCATTCTCAGCTTTTGCTTGGAATTCTCACTCTCCCTCCGTCTCAAATTTATTTATTCTTCTCCTTGTAATTTATATTTATTTCAATTCCAAGTACGTAGACGCCCCATCCCTTAGCCAAAGCTGAAAAGCTGATAGGATTCTCCCTTGTGAAGATGGTGTATCTAAACGTCTCTACTTTGGACCACAAGCTGATGACTCGGTACCTAGTCCAGTGCCTAGGTAGATAAAAAGGCGAAATAAAACTACATAATAATACCTACCTACGTAAGGTGCCGGCCACATGGAGGTACAAGTCCCAGGGTAGGTAGGTAGGTAAGTTAGTCTAATAGGTAGTAGTACGGTACGCTGTCATGATAGCAATAGGAATGGTGCGCAACGGGATCTATTCATCTAGGTAGTCTCACGCCGACCTTATTATTAAGGTCGACAGCAAGGTAATAATGTAATATCTATTATTTAAATATTAACTCGGTTTTCGGCAGCTATCATTTATAACTTGGCAGCGCAAGCAAGCAATCATTGTTAGGCCAATCTCCTATAATACACCTCACATACTCGTAGACCAACGTTACATTGCTTACATATACACATTACTTGGGTTAAAACCAGAAGGTTTATTTGTTAGTGTACCATGGAAAGGAAATGAAAGGTCGACATGCACAATGCCGCGGTAAATAGGGAACAAGGGACGGAAAAAAGCAACGACAAAGTCAATACAATAATTACCTAGGTTAGATATACCTACCTACGAAGGAAAAAAAAAAAAAAAAAGGGGGAGCCACCGCTGTTCTGGCAATGTGTTGTTGTTGTTGTTGCACCTGCGCAAACCTGGTAATCAAATTTTCAAAAATCATTCCTCTAACGAGTTTGAAGTTTCCCATTGGTTAAAGGTGTTGATCAGGGAGAAATAATTTTTGTGAAAGATTTTCTTTGCTTTCTGTCATCCTTATTCGCAGACGCAAAAAAAATAAAATAAAAAAAAGGACATGGCAGATTTTTGAAAACAAATAAGAAAATAAACCCCACACGAAAAAAATGAGAAAGATTGGCGGTAAACTTTCTAGAGCTGAGACAAGAGAAAAGAGGTTCAAATGATGTTTTTCTAATTCGCTTGCTTAAACCCCTATCATTATGTTATCCCCATGAAGTAATTTTTATTTTTCTTTGGAGGGGAATGTACTACGCACTCAGTCGTTCGTGTGTGTGTGTGTGTGTGTGTGTGTATGTAAGCTGGCACTGGCTGGCCTAGGTATATCATACCACACGCCCTAATGCACCGATGATCATAGAACAAGCGACCTGCATACCATCAAGAAAGAGCAGGGTTGAATAGACCAGGAGAAAGAAAAGAAAAAGATGGACATTCGAAACGGTCCTAACCCTACCTATCATAAAGCCGCCTGGGGACATCCACCGACAACAATCCCGGTTGTTACTCGGATGGATGGACATTGGTCCCCCGAGAAATATTCAAGTAATTTGCGGTGTTGGTCGGTCGGCCATGTACGTACGAGTATTCCGTCACGATCTGATACTAGGTCCTACCTATATTTGTGCTCGCTGACACCGGAAAAAGGGTATGAAACAAGATCACCCTACGCTTCGAG